GGGGGGTTTGGGGGGTCCCCGGAGTCCTCCCGGTGTTGATGTGGGGTCCTGTGTCCCCCCCAGGGTCGCTGTCGCTGTCCCTGGACGCGGCGGCGCTGGAGCTGATGGAGGCGCTGGAGCTGCTGCAGGAGCGCCGGGAGCGGCTGGAGGAGCATCTGCGGCAGGTCAGGGGGAACGGGCGGACACAGCGGGGACAGGGGGTGTGGGGGGACATGAGGGGACACCACCCACCCTGGGGACACGTGTGGGGTCGTGCCACTCGGCACCAGGACACACCGCGGGGCCGGGCCGTCCGCTGTGGGGACAGACAGGGACACACCACTGGGATGTGCACTCCCGGGTCCCCTCTGTCCTGTGTCCCTCCTGTCCCCCCAGGGCTGGCTGTCCCTGTCCTGTGTCCCCACTGTCCCCCCTGTCCCCCCAGGGCTGGCTATCCCTGGCCCAGGCCCGGTACTCCCTGGGGTGTCACCGCGTCTCGTCCCTGCAATATGGGGCCACCATGGTGCCCCGAGTGCGTGTGAGCCACAGGTGGGGACACGGGGGCAGGGACATGGGGGGCACAGGGACATGGGGGGCACAGGGACGTGGGGGGCACAGGGACGTGGGGAGGACACAAGGACGTGGGAGGTACAGGGACGGGGGGGGGACACTGGGACACGAGGGGGACCATGGCAGGGGGTGGCAGGGACATGGGGAGGACATGGGGATGTTGGGGACACTTGGCAGAGGGACACAGGGCTGGGGGGGACACCGGGGGACACACAAAGGGATGTCCTTGATTTGGGGAGGGGATATAGGGGTGACACTGATGTCCCCATGGGGGGTGCGGGGTGGGTGTTGGGGGCTGTTGGGGGCTGTCAGGGGGTGCTGGGGGGTCTCTGTGGTGGCAGAGGAACACGAGGGGTGGCAGTGACACCATGTCCCTGTGTCACCCCCAGGCAGGACCCAGGGGGACGCCCTCACTTTGAGGAGGTGCTCGGAACAGGGGGGGACCCCGAGGACCCCAACCCTCAGCAGGACGGGGGTGACGGTGAGGGGGGGAGAGGTGGTCCCTGGGGAGTTTGGGGGCGTTTAGGGTCCCTTTGAGGACCATGTGGGAACTGGGGGTGCCCAAGGGGGGTCCCCTGGGGGTGCTGGGGGGGAATTTGGGGTCCTCAGGACATCACCCATGGGTGCTGGGGGGGGATGCTGGGGGTGCAGGGGAGGAACTGGGGGTGCTGGGGGGTGTTCTCAGTTGTTTTCTGGGGTGTCACTGACCTTGTCCCTCCCCCAGGGCTGCGGCAGCGCCGGGGAGCCCCAGAGAAAGGGGGGGGGCCCCACCCGGCCCCCCCCAGACCCCCTGGGCTGGTTCGGGGTGCTGGTGCCCCCCAGTCTGCGGCAGGCACAGGGCAGCTTCCAGAGGGGTGAGAATGGGGGCCTGGGACTGGGGGGTGCCTGGGGGGGGGCCTGAACTTGGGGGAACTGGGGGATCTGAACCAGAGGGGTCCCCCAAAGCAGGGCGAGGGTCCCCAAACCGTGGGGGTCCAAAATCTGGGGGGTCCCCAAAGAACAGGGGATCAACCAAAACTGGGAAGGGCCTGAAGGTCACGACCCCATGTGACCCCTCTGGCCCCCTGGCCCCAGGGGTGACACTGGCCGTGGAGGTGGCCGAGCTCCAGGGCACCGTGGATGCCATGGCCACGCGGTACCGGCACCTCCTGCGGCAGAAACGGCTCCTGGCCAGAGAGAGAGGGGACAGAGAGACCCCCGGGGACAGCAGCTCCTCAGGAACCCCGGCGGACACCGAGACCACGGGGATGCCGGGTGACATCAAGACCCGAGGGGACACTGAGGGTGGCACAGTGACCACGGGGGACACGGGGACTGCGTGACACGGACACTGAGAGCACCAGGGACGCTCTGCAGGTGACATGGGGGACACAGAGGAGCACAGGTGGCACCATGACCCACAGGGACACAGGTAACGTGCTGACCCTTCCCAGGTGACACGGAGCCTTCCCAGGTGACGCACCTGCCTGTGGGTGACACTGAGCCTCCCAAGGACCGTGCAGGTGACACTGAGACCCACTCGTGGGTGACACGGAGCCCCAGGGACCCTGTGGGTGACACTGAGCTCCAGCAGTGGGTGGCGGTGCTGTCACCACCCTCGTGACAGGACCACTCCAGGGCCCCTGTGTCTCCCCCAATAAAGCTGTTGTGGTGCCACCAGCGCTGTGTCCCCTCTGTCCCCAGTGTGCCACCATCTTTGTGCACCCGTGTCACCTGGCAGCCATGCTGGTCCCATGTGACCCCTCCCTGGCCCCGCCTCTGCCCCACCCAATCAGCGGCAGCCCCTTTGCCAACGTCTATGTTTATTGGGCGGGGCCCTCGCCCCGCCCCCAGGCCCCGCCCCCGGTGGGCGGGACCGACACAACAACGACTATGGGGAGGGGTGGGGTGCAGGGGTGTGGTCTGTGGGGGCGCGGCCGGGGCGTGGCGCCCCCTAGCGGATGGTGTAGCGCACGTAGGGCACCTCGATGTCGGCATCGGTGTTGTCGTTGCAGCAGAGCTCGAACACCAGCGCCTTGACGTGGCGGCCCAGCTTCTTCTTGGACACCCGGGTCACGATCTCCGTCATCCTGGGGGCAAAGCAGGGTCACAGGGGGGTCCCAGTCCTGGGAATCAGCACCCAGAGGGAATGCAGCCATGGCCTGTCCCCACCCCTGGGATCTGTCCTCCCCTTGGTACCCTGTCCCTCTCCCACAAGATACGTCCCTACCCCTGGCATGTCTCTGAAACCTCATGTCCTGTTCCCCTCCCCAGACCCTGTTCCCCTCCCCAGACCCTGTTCCCCTCCCCAGACCCTGTCCCCCTCCCCAGGACGTGGCCCCCTGGCCCTACGGTAGGTCCTGGCGCTCGCGGAGCTTCGCCGCCGACATGAAGAAGGAGTAGAGCATGGACACGCCCTGGGACAGCATCGTGATCTCCAGCTGGTGCTCCTTCTGGGGGG